CGGGAGCGCGCCATGTATAGAGGGGAGGAGGGGCAGAGAGGCTGCTTTTGTCTGTTCAGCAGCCTGTTGCTCAGGGGAGGGGGGAGCCTGTTGCTGGCAGGGGGGGCAGCGGGCGTGGGGAGGCACTTTTCCTCTGCCCGGCAGCTCTGCGGGACCCCAGTCGGAGCCGGCCCGAGGAGGAGGAGGATCCTAGGACCCAGGTGAGCGAGCCCCGGGAATGCTGCTGCGCATGTGCGGGAGTTGCCTCACCCCGTTCGTATCTAGGGATCCGACGTAAGTCGGATCCACGTAAGTCGGGGACTGCCTGTAGTAACATTATCTTTACTGCAGCTCTTTGAATGGATGAGAGCAGGGGAAGACGGCATTTGTTAGGGAAGGTATAGTAAACAAACGGAAGATAAGAACTTTGACAAAAGCTTTAGTTGTGTGGATCTATTTTAGCTATATTATGCTGAAAAAAAAAATCAGTAAGATTTAGGTTGGATGTGAGGCTCCATACAAAAGATGACCTCCAGGTAAGGAGCCAATGTGAGCTACAGGCAGGATGCTGCCACAGTCCATAGTGATGAAGAAAGAAGGTAGAAGGAACAGCTTGCCAAAAGATTATTAATAGCTTTGTGTTAGCCGCATTGAGCTCAAGCTGACTTCTAGACATTGATAAGGAGATGTCAGAGAAACAGACAGATTTTAGTTTGGACAGGAAGTAGTAAAGACAGAGCAGAGAGGTAAATCTGAGTCACTGAATGTAGTTGAATGAATGTTTGCAGATAAGTTGACTTAAAGATAAGGTACAGAGTAGGGATGTGAAGGACTAGTTGACTATCCGATAAGCTCCCCCCCTCCCTTGCTGCCTCTATCAGAGAAGGGGGTACTTCAAAGTGGCAGTGCCATGTGGAGCTGGGGGCCAGACCCCAGAGTCCACATGGTGCTGCAGCTTTAAAACACTATAGGGAGTCAGGTGTCAGGCTGTACGCAGTGTTTCAAAGTGGCAGCGCCACGTGGAGCAGCTGATCCTGGGCTCCCCGCAGTGCTGCCACTTTGAAACCCCACAAGGTGCCTGATGCTCAGCTCCTTGTGGCATTTCAAAGCGGCAGTGCCACACAGAGCCTGAGGTCAGTAGAGGAGTCCCCAGCTGACCCCAGGCTCCATGGGGTGCTTTCGCTTTTGAAGTGTACTTCAAAGGCAGAAGTGCTCTATCGAGTAGTTGATGAAAAATGCAACGCCTATTTGATTAGCCAATGAGTCAACATCCCTAGTATAGAGGAAGAAGTGAAGGAAAGCAAGGGGAGAGCCCTGAGAAAACCATGCAGAAAGCAGAGGGTGAATCAGGAGGTTCATCTGAAATGAAGAAAGATTAGAGAGGTAGGAAGAAACAGGAAGACGACAGTCATGGAAACAAATGGAGGACAAAATTTCAAGAAGAGCATGTAAATTATCACCAATGCATGCAGTCCTAATAACAAATTTTAAATGGAATGTACAAACCTTTGTCTCTGACTGCATTTCCATAAAACTTTCCAGCTGTTAGTCTAAACTTCCCATAATCAGATTTATATTGAGAATTTATCCATCTGTTTTTCCACTTAGCTGGAAAATAGTGTTAAGTATTAATGAGGTTATGCCAATAGAAACATTTGGTCACTAAAGAAATTAAAGTGAGCCATACAAGGTCTTTTTCAAAATATACAAATCTTTTGAATTGTACTGTTGTATACAAGAACTACTAAGAAGCTTGAAAGTGAAATATTTTCCCTTACTTATTATTAGCCTTTGTTAATATAGGATTAATGAAGAGCAGTGCACTGTCCACATTCACATTCTTTAAAACATTTTTTTAAACAGGAGAGGAAAAGAAAAACTACTTATAAAGAACAGAATGAAAAAGTGGGGGTAAATCTCTACTATCAAGGAGTGAAATTGTCTTCAGCAACTTCTCAAAGGGCTAGCGATGTCAAATTCACTCCTAGTGAAATGGACCTGATCTGAACATAGTAGAGCACTATGAGATGGATTTGTGACAAGAGGCTATGTCACAGGGGATGTGTGGGATACAAATCCACACCAGTAACTAGGGAGGTTAAAAATAGTTTAATACGGTAACTGTGTAAGTGCTAAACATTTTAGCGATTAAACATACTGCAGAGTCTGCAGTATAAAACTTAGCTTTATATTGCAGAGCCTGCAGCAAAGCCCCTGCCAGCCCAGCTCTCGGGAAGGAGACTTCAATGCGGCAACGAAGCCACCTACCAAGGAGCCAAGAAAATGAAGCCTCCTTTCCAGAAGCAGAGCAGGCAGCCCTTAACAGATACCATTAACAAATAAACATCCTAGCAATAACTGCTTCAGACTCGGTGTACTGAGCAGAACTGACCGGAGTTCTCTCCCTCTCCAGAATCTCGTCCAGAGTCCCAGGCTCTTTCCTCAGCCCTAGGAATCACCACGTTCTAAAACAGGGATGCAAGTGGCTAGTCGAGTAGCCATATGCTTATTGGGTACTACTCAACTAGTTGCCCCCCCCCATGCTCCCTCTATCAGAGGCAGGGGGGGGGGGGGAGCAGATGCTGGGGGCAGTTAGTTTAACAGCTGGTTCCCCCCCCCAGCACCATCTCTGCAGGAGGGGAGGCTGAGGCACAGCAGGGGACTGGGTGTAAACCGGGACAGCTCATGCCCGGTCCCCCACCGCGCCTCGGCCTTTTAAATGCTTTGAAAGCATCTGGGACCAGGTGTGAGCTCTCACTGCTGGTTCCCAGCTCACATCCGGTTCCCCGCTGTGCCTCTGCCTTTTAAATGTGGTAAGAGCCAAGTGGCTACTACATATAAAAGGCAGAGCTGCAGCAGGTATAGCTCCCACTGCGGCTCTGCAGCTTCCCCCATCCACTACTTGAGTAGTCGATGGGAATTCCATGGACTACTCCCTTAGCCGACTGAGTGAAATTTAACATCCCTGTGCTAAAATCCGATTCTAAAACCCTCCGTTCCCAACGCACAGCCTTCGACATGCCCCACCCCCACCCGCCCCTTCATCTCACTCCTTGTCCCCTCAGGAACGGGGTTCCCGTCCCACAGGCAATGCCCCACCCAAGTTTACCTCCCCCAGACTCTCTCCAGCCCCTCCCCATCACCTCCATCCAGAAACTGCTCGCGGAAATACACGTCGGCACAGGCGGGGCTCAGCGCGGCCCAGAAGAAGAGGGCGAGGCCCCGAGGCCCCATTTCTAACCCGATCCTACGTTCGCCCGTCAGGGAAGTTGGCCTCCCGCGAGCGTAACGGCCCTCGCACCTCCCGGCGGACTCATATTTGATTGGTCCTTGCCCGCGCGCTTCCTGCCCATGCAGGCGGTGATTGGCCCAAAGCCTCACGCGAAAACGGGCGTTGTTGCGTACGTATTTTCGCGCCTCGTGGAGGAGAGGGCTCTGATTGGCTTAAGCCGTGAGAGAGGCGGTCTATCTGACGCGGACCGGCCCGCCCACTCCAGGACGTCTAGTGCGCTCGATGCCGTGGAGAGAAGGCTTTGTGATTGGTTCTCGCTGGGCGATGACAGGACGTTGCCATGGAGGAGGCGCCAACGGATTGGCTGGCCCCGCTGGGTCACTCAGTGGGCGGGTGGTGCTGGGATGGCCGAGCCCGGAGCCATCTCTCTGTCTGGGCCGCTGACGTGAGGGGCCTGGAGCCCAGCCCCCGGGCAGCAGGTGAGCTCCCAGCTCCAGTCGCGGGCTTCGCTTGGCGGTGGCCGACAGCGGAGCTGGAGGGAGGCGGCCGGGTCGCTGTCACCTCAGTCCTGCTTGTGCCTGTTATTTATGGAGGAAGCGCCCATATGGCCCCCCAAAGGCAGAGAACAGCTCCCCCCCCCCCGCGGGGGGTGG